GTGACGCTGGTACTCTCCATTTATGTGCAATCAAAAAGTGATTCTGACAGGAAAACAGGAACTGACAGGAAACAACTTTGAAGTGATTTAAAGTGAACGGTACTTCCTTGATATAATTGTTTATGTAGTTCTCGTATTAATATGATAAATGTCTTCCTGATTATATGGGAAAAACAGCATTTGCTCAGGATAAAATGGTTAATCAACAATCTATTGTTTGATGTTTATAATACACAAAACACAATAAGAGGGTGCGGGAGGAATTTTGCTGGGTTAGCATATTGTCATGAATATGGGCAGAGCACGGAGGTTCTCTCGAGCCACAATCTCTCTCTCTCTCTCTCTGCTCCTTCGTTTCCACTGTTATTCAGGTTATACTGCTGGACAGGATGCAGCGTCTGGGGACATGGGTTGTGGGGACGCAGTATCCACAATCTCTGGGAAAACCAGAGTGGGAAAAAGATGAATGTGCTACCAAGACACCCTCAACAAACTCCCTTCACACACCTGCACTGCATGTCCGAGGGGCCCCTTACACTCCACATCACATACACAGGTGGTCCACAAAAAGCTGGCCTGACAGTGACGCTGGTACTCTCCATTTATGTGCAATCAAAAAGTGATTCTGACAGGAAAACAGGAACTGACAGGAAACAACTTTGAAGTGATTTAAAGTGAACGGTACTTCCTTGATATAATTGTTTATGTAGTTCTCGTATTAATATGATAAATGTCTTCCTGATTATATGGGAAAAACAGCATTTGCTCAGGATAAAATGGTTAATCAACAATCTATTGTTTGATGTTTATAATAGTTCATTTCCTTTGTTTCTCAGAATTCTTCAAATGATCAAGTGGAATGATGTCATCTTCAGTCTCATATACGCATTGTCATATATAACAAAGAATTTCACACCAGGTCGCATGTACTGTATACATTTTCTTTAACACAACTATAAATTCTTTAAAATCAGTTTTCTAGTAGAATCTAGCAGAATCATAATTAAGACAATAGCCTATGTAAAGTTAGATGAAAAAGGTCTTAGATGGAATGAAATTTTTCATTATGAAAATGAAACAGAAAACAATGAATGTTAAACCATAACCTTTCTGCTTAAAAAAAAAAAATTCACATTAATAAAATCATTTAAAATTAGGAAGGCTTTGGGCTAGTATGTATTCAAGTAGCACGTAGATATTCGAGCAGATAATATTGATAACATGATGCTTGTATTCAGCTAACACAGTGGTTCCCAAACTGCAAAGGCTGCAGATTATTTTGCAAAATAATATAATGCAAGTCAATATTTCAAATCATATATATAATTTCATTTTGCAATCAAGGTCATGTCTGAGAGGGTGCGTGTATATATTCATAAGAGAATCATGAAAAAATAGTTTCCTCAAAAACATAAAGCAGCTGTTTTCAGCATTAAAATAATCAGAAATGTTACTGAGCAGCAAATCAGCATATCTGAATAATTTCTGAAGGATCATGTGACACTGAAGACTGGAGTAATGATGCTGAAAATTCAGCTTTGATCACAGGAATACAGTATATGTTAAAACATTCAAATAGATATTTTAAATTTACACATTTCACATTATTACAGTGTTTACTGTATTTTTAATAAATTATAACTGACTGAGGTCTCTGGGAACACTCATTCAGTGTAACAGCGGTTAACTATATGCAATATGTGCTTAAGGCATTACATCGCCTGAAAAATAGGCTTTGCTGCTCTCTAGTGGACGTCCCGAAATGGGCACAATTTTGCACGTGTCAGTAAACATATTCATGCTTCCGCTTTTCAGTAGAGGTGCAACGTGACAGTCAGACTGAGCTGCTACAGGACAGTAAATAATGCTCTTATTACACTGCAGAAGCTACCATGAAATGCATTTACAGATGAAATTACTGTTGTAGAAATTATCAACTACTGTATAGGCCTACACAATATGACATATTTTAAAATAGTTTAAATATATGCTATAGTTAAAACACTGACTTGCCAACTTTTTCAACGGGCTTGGTTCTGGAAGTAGTCAGTTCCGATTCACCAAACAAAAATCCTCGAGTTCCAAGCCAGTTTTCGAAATGTTAGACGGAGGTATTTTAAGGGGGCGCTGGAGACTCCATATTAGTTCTCAAATCACGCTCATTTTCACAAATTCAAATCTATTGTGGTGACTGATTGTAAACAAACAGTCTCGTTAGATTTAAATGCGCGGATTTAAATACTGTCTGTTTTGTTTTGTTTTGTTTTTTTTCACGCAAATCAGTGGGCTACTTTTATTTTTCATTTCATAATTGTATTTTATTGTAGCTTGACGACTTCACAGAAATCAATAAGAATTTTTCTAATGGCCATGGTTCATGTTTCTAACTACCCTGCTAACATTTTTCACTGGCCCAGTGTTACATTTTTATTTATTTATGTATTTATTTATTATTTACTGTAGCAATAAGAGGTGTAAATTGAACAGCTAATGTAATTTTATTCTATTGTATATTCATGTACTTTTTTTCAGCCAGATTATGGGAAGTCCAAAGATAGGCCTACTTTATACAAAATATTTCTTAATGAAAGCTTTGCTATTTTATTTTATGGTAAATATTGTTCATAATCTATACAGTCATAATATACATAGCAGATGAGGAGAAAACACAACATGACATTTATATTCTACAAAATATATAAAGTATTTTATTACATTTCAGAATGTTTTTTTTTTATAGTTACTGTGTTACAGTGAGATCCCAGAGGGAAGATTGTATTGCTGAAGCAAAAGACCTGAGCTACTTTAGCCTGTTCCAGATGTCTCACTTCAAAGTCAGTATCAAGGTACATACTGCTTCATTATTATTTTTCATACATTTTACACACATCATTTACATTCATACAGTTATCTAATTTCCATCATGACATTTGCTGTACACTCCTAAAGTTAGTAAGTTGTTCCAAAAGTAGGCATCTTAATTATGCCGCCTCCAAAAAGTCAGTTTGGTATTTGGTATTAAGAGAAGGAACATTCTCATTCTAGAAAAATTTGATTGTACAAAAATCTGTGTAGAACAGAAATAGTAAGAATCTGCTAAAAGTGAATTTTATCAACATTCAGGAGCACACTACCATACAGTATGTGACCCTGGACCACAAACCCAGTCATAAGGGTCAATTTTTTGAAAATGAGATTTATACATCATCTGAAAATTTAATAAATAGGCTTTCCATGATGTATGGTTTGTTAGGATAGGACAATATTTGGCCGAGATACAACTATTTGAAAATCTGGAATCTGAGGGTGCAAAAAAATCTCCTTTAAAGTTGTCCAAGTGAAGTTCTTAGTAATGCATATTACTAATCAAAAACCAAGTTTTGATATATTTACAGTAGGAAATTTACAAAATATCTTCAATGAACATGATCTTTACTTAATATCCTAATGATTTTTGGCATAAAAAGAAAAATTTATAATTTTGACACATACAATATATTGTAGGCTATTTCTACAAATATACCCGTGCTACTTTTGACTGCTTTTGTGCTCCAGGGTCACATATAGATGTGCTCAAATCTAAACTCTTATTTTCAATGTTACTGGGCCTTTAAAGGCACAATATGTAATTTTCGCAGCTAGAGGGTGCATATTCAAAATAAACAAAGAAACAAAGGCGTAGTTTGATGACCCCGTGACTGAGTGTGGAACTATGGGAGTTGTTGTCTTCATCCCCACAGCCGATGCAATCCGACGGGACTCGGGCAGAAATCATGTTCATGGATGAGCTAATGATTTATTAACGTAGTAGAATGAAGCAGGATGAGGCTGAAAGTTGTCGAAGCGAAACGAGGCCGCTGAACGAGCGCGACACACGGCTCGAAAGCAGCGGAGCTTTTATTATGCCACAGTCGACCGCTTCCACTCCTTCTGGTCGTGCGTATGTGGGGTAAAGCAGCGCTGTTTTATCATACTAGCTACATTTGAAAGTTCTGTTATTATGCAACTCTGTGCGGTCATCACCGGTCTATTAAAACACATAACATATGCAATGTTATGACACGCTCCGTGTCACTAGTTAAAATTGCTTATTTCTCTGGATTTAAACATTCTTCGAAACTTTTGGGATAATGTAAGTACACAAGTCAGCAAAATATATAACACTGTTCTAGTGGTTTTTGGATATTTTAATAAAAAAAATCTTACATATTGTGCATTTAAGGTAAAATAGGATTGTGACTACAAAGACACTAATGGTCTGTAGTATAACACTTACACTCTGAACGTTGAATTACATTACAGCTGCAGAGTAAATGAACATGCAAAAGGTAGAGATCAGATTAACTGAAGTTTAACTGAAAAAAACCACAGTGCCTATAAAGGGAAACATGTCTGTATGGGCTAGTCAACAACATCCTGTGACAAATGTAGCTTTTACGTGCTTCACTCTTCTCATATTCTCAGTCAACATGGGAAGATTTTGAGAATTTTGTTCTTTGTATATTTCTATGAGAGATGCCTGCAAAACAACACAACTTCCCAAATTCATTGAAATGATTTTAAAAGAAGGTTTTGTTTCTTGAAGCCCATTTAAATATTGTTATTTCTGTATTTCTAAGAAATTCTCAGGCTTCCTTGTTGCCAGACAGCATAGAGTAAAAAGAACTTAGCAGTGAAACCATTACTAAGAATGAGGATGTTCAAATATGTAGTTGTCTACAGTTTCAATGTCTGACATCACATGCTCATCATATGCGTGCTTTACTCTAAGGCATTTGCACAGTTTGTGAATTAAGCACTGACAGAGGAAAGAGAGGGAGGGGTATGCTAAATAAACATCTCTATTTATCTCTTTCAACTAATGCGGTCTCTCAGGGCATATGCCGGGCCTCACATGCAGATTGAGAGTGTGTCCGCGGTAGATGGGCTGCCTGTATGTCTTCGTATATATATGTGTAAGAGAAAAAATACTCTTGATTTAGTTCAGAAATTAAGAACCTGAATTTGGATTATTACATATATTTAAGTGTGCTGACTAAGGACACACAAAATGTAAGTCCAAACTTTTTAATTTTTTTAAATTTATTTTACTTTAAATTGATATTTTGACTTTACTGCAGTAGACATTCCTGTGATATATGTGACCCTGGACCACAAAACCAGTCTTAAATGTCAATTTGTCAAAATTGAGATGTTGAGATGTTCAAATTGAGTTTGTTAGGATAGGAAAATATTTGGTCGAGATACAACTATTTGAACATTTGGAATCTGAGGGTGCAAAAAAAATCTAAATATTGAGAAAATCGCCTTTAAAGTTGTCCAAATGAAGTCCTTAGCAATGCATATTACTATTTCAAAAATTAAGTTTTGATATATTTACGGTAGGAAATTTACAAAATATCTTCATGGAACACGATCTTTACTTAATATCCTAATGATTTTTGGCATAAAAGAAAAATCTATAATTTTGACCCATACAATGTATTTTTGGCTATTGCTACAAATATACCCCAGCGACTTAAGACTGCTTTTGTGGTCCAGGGTCACATATAGTGGTAACATTTACATGTACTGCTGGTTATGAGGGACACTAATGGTTATTAATGGTTAGTATAAACTGGTTTAAAGGGGAAACACGATGAATTAAACTTACTTGACAACAACAGGTTAGGACGGGGGAAGATTTGGCCGCGATACAACCATTTGAAAATCTGGAATCTGAGGGTGCAAAAAAATTGATAAAATCATCTTTAAAGTTGTCCAAATGAAGTTCTTAGCTATGCATATTACTAATCAAAAATTAAGTTTTGATATATTTATGGTAGGAAATTTACAAAATATCTTCATGGAACACGATCTTTACTTAATATCCTAATGATTTTTGGCATAAAAGAAAAATCTATAATTTTGACCCATACAATGTATTTTTGGCTATTGCTACAAATATACCCCAGCGACTTAAGACTGGTTTTGTGGTCCAGGGTCACATATAGTGGTAACATTTTGTAGTTTTTCTTACTTCATTTTTTTAAAACTTAAAAAATATTTTCATGTTTTGACTTTCAAGTAGTAGCCTATGTTTAATTAGATTTGTAATTATGCTTATATTCAGTCTGAATGGAAATTGTTATTTTAAAAATGATCACAAATTATCACCATAGTTGAAAATTGTTTATAAGTTTCTTTCGTTTAGTTCAATTTGCCAAGCTGTTAAAATGATAAACACCTAAAAATCTTATCTTTTTATCTTTTGCACTAGTTAATATTTTCATCCAATGGAATCTGTTTTCATAAGGGTAAGCACTCTTTAATAAATATTTTAATATTTGTGTTTTATTTTTGTTTGTGTGATAAGATCACGCGTTTGTCAGTGATTGTCTAACTATACTAATGGAAACATTACTGATGAAGTTTTTTAAAGACTAAAGTGTAAACCACCAAACTGTGGTAAATGTGGGTGAGTTTAAAAATGTTTTTATTCAGCACCCAGTATGATGCCTTTCTGGACCTTTCTGGTTTTCTTCTGGACTATTACTGAACTCCGCGTAGAGAACTGGGGAGACTGACAGCGGTGAATATAGGTGTGATTACAAGGAATAAATAGATTTGATTTGATAAAATATAAGTTAATGAACACTGATTAAGAAGATTATTAAATTTCATTTTTTTTTAAAGGATGGGTTGTGCTTGTAGTGACCAGAAACATCGCAAAGACTCTAAAGGGCATGAACATAATAATTCATCAAACTCTAACAAATTTCATGTAAGTATTGCTGATTTTAGTATTTTTTTAATGACCAGCTGAATTCTATTGAGAAAATAGTTTTTACTTCGTTTCACTTTTACTGAGCTTCACAGTGACAAACAAGACCATTTTCAGTTTAGCTGTATTGTATTTTTTTTTTTATATTACTACATTTTATATTACTGCAAATTTATACATTTCTATTACATGTTAGTGTTTTAAAAATCATTAATGAATATGAAAATGACATATTTTATTTACAGTTGTCAAGAGATCACAGGAAGCAGAACAACAATCCAGGTAATATGTTTTTGATTTTGGCATGTCGGTTTTGAATTCAGGAAAGCGTTTTTCTTTCAAAAATCATTTTGAATACATTATATTAATAATGTTGCTGGGTGCAGATCTTGTGTTCTTATTAAAAATAAGAAAATAAAAGACCAGAAACTGTCATATCATGTTATTGTTCACATGCACCAGAAGGAAATGTTAATCAAATATTTGAATTGCATATTTTAACTTTCTTTTCAGATGAAGACATTGTCATTGCTCAATATGACTTCCAGCCAGCTAGTGATAGTGATCTACAGTTCAAAAAAGGCGACAGACTCAAGATTATTAAAGAGTGAGTAAACAATACCGAGTATCAAATTAAAATACAGCAAAGACTTCCAGCATTTTATATTAAGAGAGGATCTCCACCTGTAAATGTGTACAATTAGGCTAATCAAAAGAATAAATTGGTAAGAACTTTGTTAACTTTATAAAGTGTGAATGGCACACACTTTATAAATTAAGGCACAGTTTCGGGCTAATAAACTTCTAGTAAAGATATCAATCCGTTTTGCCGCTTTGCTTATGTTATTCCAGGTGAATCATCTTTATATTATGTATTGTTTAAATTAGCTACATGTGAATGTCAACTAAAATAACCACACACAAATAACACATGAAAAAAGATTAAAGAGCCAAATGATTACAGCGACTAACTTGTCCCATGTTTTTCTCAGGACTGGTGAATGGTGGTTGGCGAAGTCCTTGATCACTGGTTATGAGGGATATATTCCGTCTACATACGTGGCAAGAGCACACACAATGGAGGTGGAGAGGTAGTGTAGTAACAAATATTACCAATATATGGATATGTTTCAGCAATAGCGCATGGGCAAGAGTGTTGTTGGTTGTTCTGAATATCAGCACTGCCGTATTTCGGCCGAAGGCACAGAATGTTCCACTGCTGTTATGCTTAATAACATCAATACTCTTGGAATGTCACTCGGACCTAACTGATTTATAATTTGTAAACATAATCTTTGTAAAAGAATGATATTATAAAGGCTCTGTTTTCTGTTCCAGATGGCTTTTCAAGGACATGAGTCGCAGAGACACAGAGCGTCTTCTCCTGGCACCAGGAAACAAACCTGGCGCATTTCTTGTGAGAGAAAGTGAAACAACCACAGGTCAGATGCCAGTAAAATTCATTCCCTTTGTTTTCATGTGATCACTGAATGGCTGCTCAAGCAGTTCACTTCTTGAGGCCCAAAAGCACAAAAGTGCACAACATTTCAAATAGTTCCATTGCTACAGTACTGTGTATCACTACATTATCTAGCCACGGCAAGAATTGTATACAGTATAGCATTAGTTCAGTTTCGACCATAAAGAGAAAGAAATACTAAAGAAATGACTTCAAGTAGTCAGTATAACACACCATCACAATATTTTCAGTTGTCAAGGTTTTTTTTAAATCTCAGACCAGTCAAACTAAATTAATATTTAAAGGAGCACTGGGTCCACAGCCTCAAAACTTTGTTACTTTTATTTGATTTTGATCAGATCTTTCGCTGATAAAGTGTGCATATCTGAATTTTTTTCAAAGTTTACAGAGTCTCATCTGCTGCTCTTTTTTAAGTTCACATCATGCAGAGAGCTGAAAGAGCAAATAAATGTCAACCTATGTACTGAGATCTGTGCTTTGCTTTGAGTGGAGATATTAATAGCCTTTTTATTTTATTTATCTACTTGTAGAGCTATGGAAAATGCAGAAACTAGTCTTCACTGGAAATTTTTCAGTAACTGAGGTTTCTGAGTGTATAATTTGACCAAATGCATGAAGTATTAAAACATGTTAAATAAGTTTGTGTGTGTATACACGCTGCAAAAAAACCTATTACCTATTAATTTATTAATTAAAAATATGAATTAAAAAAAATTTAAAGGAAAAAATCATTTGTTTTTCTTGCCACATTTTTTCTTGTTTTAAGTGTAAAGTCACTTAACTTTGATACATTTTCCAGAAAACGATACTTGTTATTTTAAGCCATTTTTCTTCTCAAGTTAAAGTATCTTAGATATTTGTTCTGGAAAAAAATACTTTGTGTTTAAAATGCACTGTTAAATCACTAAATACATTAAAAATATCTGTGTATTGTTTAGCAAAGACGTTATTATTTAAGGTTCTATAAGCAATGTCAGCCATTTCTTCAAAGACAAGCAAACCTGATGTGAGAAATCCTGAACATAAAAGATGATTCAGAGATTCTAAGAGTTGTCTTAAAGGCACTGAATGCTTCCCTGATTACTTCTATCTTTTTACAGAGCCTAGGGCGACAAGTTTTGGTTCTCATATTGTTAGGACACATATTTCAGTGATACCTGTCAGATGACATTTAATGTGTGCTATTTCAAAAACTTGCTGTGATTCTGTTCTTCCTAAAAATTTGAAGAGCATACTGATCATACTGATGTTATTTAACAACTGTTTCTGATCCTCTGCAGGTGCTTTCTCTCTGTCTATAAGAGACTCCACCCCAGAGCAAGGTGATGTAGTCAAGCATTATAAGATCCGAGCTCTTGATAACGGTGGTTACTACATCTCTCCCTCCACAACCTTTTCTTCTCTTCAAGAACTAGTAAAGTATTACGCCAGTAAGTACTCGGAGCTAAGACTGTTGCTTTATCAAGGTCCTTTTCTGTTTCTTCCACTGTATACTTTCTGTGGTCGTAGCTGTGAAAACAGTTGCTTTAACCACCAGATAAATAGGTCAGCTTCAGTCTCAGTTCATATTCCGCACTCTTGGCCCATTTTGGTGTGTTGTGTCTTTTTATAGAACTGTTTACAAGTAACAAAAACCTTTTTCTACGTTTTGGTTTGGGCACATCTAGTGCTTTTCTCCCAGACAGAATCAAAACCAGTAAACATGGTTTCATTTCATACAGATTGGTAGATGCTAGTCTTGTTTAATTAGAAATTGCTCCTAAATTTGTGACATAATCTCCACTCAACATTCTGTTTTCCCAAACTCCTTTATTGTACATTAAGGGACAGCAGATGGTTTATGCCAGAGGCTAGGAAGCCCTTGTAAAACTGCTACCCCTCAGAGACCCTGGGCTCAAGATGAGTGGGAGATTCCCAGAGAGACTCTGAAAATGGTGAAAAAACTTGGTGCCGGCCAGTTTGGAGAAGTGTGGATGGGTAAGAAGCGGAAGAAAGTTCAATTGCGCAATGTTGCCTTTGGGTAACAAATCTTTATTCTTCCTTTTCAGGCACAATGGTTGGTCGACACATATTTTTGCTCTAAACAATATGAGTTAAGTTTATTAGAGAGTGTTCTTAATTTTGTGTAATATGTAGTCAGATTCATTATCTTGATTTAAAAGCTACAAAACCTACAGTAGATATACAGATACAGTAGTATAGTACAGTTTATAAACACTAATAAAATTGAATTAAATTGACAGATTTTCATTTTTTAGGTCTGAATACTATAGTAATACTATAAAATCTTTCAATTGAATTTCTTTTCATTGTAGCAGTGTTGCCTTGATGTAACATACATAAAATTATTTTTCAAAATTTAATCAAAACATTTTAATCTGACACTAAATTTAATCAGAGATTTAATTAATATGAAAATGAGGTAACACTTTAGTATAGGGACCAATTCTCACTATCAACTAGTTGCTTATTAGCATGCACATTATTAACATATTGGCTGTTTATTAGTACTTATAAAGCACATATTCTGCATGACCATATTCTACGTCCTTATACCCAATACCTAAACTTAACAACTACATTACAAACTATTAATAAGCAGCAAATTAGGAGTTTATTGAGGCAAAAGTCATAGTTAATTGTTTGGTAATGGCGAGAATGGGACCGAAAATCAATATGTCTTTGTATTCATCTCACAGTAAATTTATTTTTATTCTGGCCCTGAAGTTGTTTGTTCAAGGGCGCGTGTCAGTGTTTCGTGTGGTTTTGTGTGATATTGTCACATTTTAGCCACATGAATGATAATTTAATTGAACGTCAAAGAGGTTTTGACTTTGGCCACCAGGGTCAACATTAATCGGAAGTTGCAAAAACCTCTGATCCATATTCCCCTACTGTACAGTATGCGCTCTTGCAGATCTTTGCAACTTGTATTTTTCTTTAAATCTTTCTTTAATTCTTTTAACATACATACACATTTACTTGAGAAGCAGAATGGCATAATATTTGTTTTCATATTATTATTTGTTGTTGTTTTTTATACAGTATTATAGTTTTATTTTCATTTTTATTTGTTTTATATAACTATATTTAGTAAGGTATATGCTTAAAGCAAGAACAGACAGTAAATATATCCTGTTCTTTACAAGTTTATTTGATGAAGCTGCATGTGCCTGTGGCTCTTGTTCGTAGGGTACTACAAAAACTCCCAGAAAGTTGCCATCAAGACTTTGAAGGAAGGCACCATGGAGCCAGAGGCATTCCTACAGGAGGCTAATCTGATGAAGCAGCTCCAGCATGAGAGACTGGTCAAACTGCACGCTGTAGTCACCCAAGAACCCATATATATTGTCACAGAATACATGGCTAATGGTTGGTATTACCACAACATTATTAGAGTCCTAAACCATTTGTTATTCAAATTATGACATAACTGTCTAAACTATACAATTGTTCTTTTCCTATTCAAGGAAGCTTGTTAGACTTTCTGAAGACGGATGATGGCCATAAATTAAAACTTCCCAAGCTGATTGATATGGCTGCTCAAGTAAGAATAATTAAATTTATTATGATTTCACTTGATTGTCTTCTTAGTAGCAATTAATTATTTCTCTGGCACGGCAGATTTGAATCTTTATGGAACATGATACATTTAAATGCACTGCATGGAAACCTGCACATTAAGTAGAGTTAATTCATGCACCCCCTGTACATCAGTTTCAACTTCTGTAACTATTTTTAGAATTGTTTTGTATCAGATGCTGTCAGGGATATGTAGAGGAAATGGTCTTTGGTCTTGTAAGCTCATGGTCTGAACATTTTTAGATCTGAACACTTCTAGCAACCACCACAAATTTAGATGAATATATTCTGGCAGGATATTACGTACATTTTTCCATCGACCTGAAGCCCAAACACATGCACGACTGTGATCTTGTTCTCTGTGAAACTTCCTGTTAGAGCCCACTATGTTGCTGCTAACTTTTTTTCAGTTCATCATAAAAAAAAATCATAAATCATTTTGTATATTTATTTGGTTGTTTTAAGCCATATCAGCTTTTATGAAAAGAACAGGGTAGAAAAAAGAAACTGTTACGTTTCTGCACTGTTCTTGTCATTAAACAATATCCTTTGATGCTGAATATTTTTTGGAGCGATTTTGAATAATATCAATGACAACCAAAATTTATAGTTCAATTTTTTGGAACAAAGTATTTGAGAAACTGCATTTTAAAAATTACCAAGTATTCCACATATAGCCCATATTATATTCAGTTTAATTTCTCTCTATGTAACAGATTGCAGAGGGAATGGCTTTCATAGAAAGAAAAAACTACATTCACAGAGACGGAAACCATAAAATGAACACAGTCATTAGTTAGACTTCCTCCTGAGATATCGGACTGTGAATGTTCCGTTCATCAGGGATAGATTAAATAGTGAGAATGTAACACAGTAAAGGAGTATGTGATTATACACTGCTATTTAAAAGTTTGTGGTTGGTAAGATTTGTTAATGTTTTTGAAAAAACTATTCTGTTCTCACCAAGGCTGCATTTATTTGATCAAATATACATTAAAAACAGTAATATCGTGAAGCAGTATTACAATTTCAAATAATTATTTCAATATATTTTAAAATGTAATTTATTCAGATTATATAGTTTATTTTAAAGGGGATGTACAAAAACATATGGAATGAAAGGATGGACAAACATTCCCATTAAGTTAAAATTACGTTTTAAAGGGGTCATATGATGCGATTTCAATTTTTCCTTTCTCTTTGGAGTGTTACAAGCTCTTGGTGCATAAAGAAGATCTGTAAAGTTGCAAAGACTAAAGTCTCAAATCCAAAGAGATATTCTTTATAAAAGTTAAGAGGCAGCCACACCTACCTAAAACGGCCCGTTCTACACGCCCCCACATATCTACCTCACTATGTGGGAAGATTTGCATAACACCGCCCAAATCTTCACGCAAAGAAAGAAGGCGTAACTTTTATTCTCGCTGTATTGTTGTTGCGCCAACAACAATACAGCCTCCTTTGTCGAATCCGCCGGCCACGCCGTTCTCAAGACAGGGCATCATCACAATATGGTAGGGGCGTAACATTTCCGTCACACGCTTGAGGTATTCGGCCAATCATAACGCACTGGATAGCTAGCCAATCACAGCACACCTTGCTTTTCAGACCGATGAGCTTTGTAAAAATCGGCGCGTTTCAGAAAGGCGGGGCATAGAGGAGAAACAATAATGTACAGTATGTGGAAAATAATGTGTTTTTGAACCTTAAACCGCATAAACACATTTCATTACACCAAATACACAAAATAATGTTCTTTTTAGCAACATCATATGACCCCTTTAAATGTTTAAAAAAGGGGACCTTAAAACATTAAGGGAACATTTTGATCATTATTGGGACCATTACTTTTTTACTTAATTTTTACAGTAAATGTTCTGAAACAAGTAGCTAAACTTAAACGTCCAAAACTTTTCAGAAATAAAAATCCATGAATGAAGCATGAATCATGTTTTTCTGCTAATGTTTTGAGAACATTATTAAAGACCAGATAATTCTGAACAAACATTCTGTTACTCATAACTTTGAGAGAACCTTGCCAGAACACTGCCAAAGTTCTGAGAACATTTCCTCTTTTTTCACAGTCATATGATCCTTCGGAAATCATTCTAATATGCTGCTCAAGTGGCATTTCTTACTATCAAAACAGTTGTTCGGCTTAAAACTTTTGTGGAAAACATGATATAATTTTTTTTTTTAATTCTTTGATGAATAGAAAGTTCAAAAGAACAGCATTTATTTTAAAAATATATTTTTTGTAACATCAAAAATTTATTTACTGTCACTTTTGATAAATTTAATGCATGCTTGTTGAATTAAAAAAAAAAAAATCTTACATCCCCCAAAAGATTTAACAGTAGTGTATAGCATCAGTATGATCAATGTACAATGTGTTAATCCTTAAGGCAAAAAAAATAATTTCATGTTTGCACTTTTTACATGTCTTTTAAAATGTTTGCTTAATAGAAGGTGTAATTTTAAGATTATATTTTAAATGGCACCCTCTTAATTTAAAATTCTTTGAGGCACGTCTCTCCCATTTCTCAGTGTAAAGCTCTGGTTCTGGTGGCTCAGATGAATATGAGAAGTGCCCAGCATTCATACAGCTCCACTCCCTGCCTTAAACTCACCCCTGGGGCTTTATATGTTTGTAGATAACTGAGTGAGAATGCAACCAACACCCAAGAGCTGCTCCTGTGGTTTCCTGCCTGCCAGTCTGCAGCTGAAACAGGAAGCAGTGAGTCAGCATTCCTCTCAAGATAAGCACTCGATGGCTCGGAATTCCAAACATGCTGCTGAAGTTTTTCTCAGCATTCATGCAAAATCAAAGGTGTCCATTTAAGCAAAATATTTCTGGGAAGTGCATGCTGAAACCAAGTTTTGATTCATCAGTGCTCTCAAGCTGTGTTAATGATGCAGGAGGTACTTACGCAAGCTTACTTGATATCTGTTCATATATGAAGTAATGTTTGTTTGATGGAATGATGATATTTAACAGAAGCTGATAAATTAACTGGCTCATCAGTGACGTTAGTGACTTTATTGACTGTAGCAGTGGAAATTAATCATTACCCAGAGTGCATTTTACTGTCATACTCCTTAATCAGATAGCTTTTCACTGCTATATTAGATGAATGCATCATTAGATTTGTGAAACGCACATGACTGTTTTTTTTTTTTTTTTTTAGTAAGACAAATAGGAGGGTTAGACTTGTAGTCAGCAAGCTCTCTGTGTTGGCCAGCTCTCTAAGCTGTGTGATTTACGCACAGAAGACCAATTATTCTAATGCATCATCACAAATTGCTTATCTGCAAAAACTTCAACCCATTATAAAGATTACAGAAGAAGGTTTTCTCTGAAAAAATACACAATTTAAACATCAAGGTTGGCCATGTTGCATCAGGCTGCAAAATCTCTTTATGGTTCCATTTACTCAACATCATCTCTTGGCAGAAGAAAACGGTCTGATATTGGATAATTAAGCCCCTGCAAATTTGCATGTGAGGCCAAAGGTTTGCTTTTTTAAATTCCAAAACTGTAAAATCCATTTGATCAGTGTCATCAGCAATTTTTAGCACTTTAAGCAAAGAGCAGTTACAAATTATTACATTTGCAACACAGCTTTGGAGTGTGCTGGACCATTCACCCATACTGTTTGATAATGTAGTAAGATAATAATTTAAAACAAAAAAATAAACAGGAACATTCATCAAAATAAGCTTCGACAACTTTTAAAAATAGACCTTTGAGACTGACATCCTGAAGTACTGTGCTGATTTTAGTGGTCATAGTTTAAAGTTTTCAATAGAATTCTGTTAGATTTTGGCTGTTTTTAAAGTTAGAAAAGACAAAAGATATAACCTCAGTCAGAAAAGGCTGAACGTTTTGGTGGCCAAAGCTTGAAGTGATGTATTCTGTTTGTGCACATACTCATTTCCTCTTTCTGTCTCTCTCAGTCATTTCCACCAGGGGGTAGTCCAGCACAGGAGTGATTTTGTGTTGCTTTTAGCATTGAACATCTGTAGACTTCTGATAATGTGCCAGCAGTGGTGTATAAAGTACCTGAAAGCCATACTTAAGTAAAAGTACAGATATCTTACCAGAAAATGATTTTGGTAGAAGTTGAAGTCACCGTTTAGAATATTACTTGAGTAAAAGTCTTAAAGTATGTGATATTTATTGCACTTAAGTACGAAAAGTATTTTTAAAATCTTAAACACACTTAAGTATTGAAAGTAAAAGTACAAGTAAATGCAAAATGGAAAAGAAGCAAATAAATATATATATATATATAAAACATGCTCATACACAGCTTTGAGTAGCAAGATTGTGTTCAGTTTTAACTCTTTCTTCCATTTTGTATTTTTGGGTAAGAATAAGAAGCACTTCATCTGGTACTTAGTGTCTTTCATTCCAACATAAGAAAACATTTCTGGAATCTGCATCTGAAATAGCATTTAGATGTATTTACACAGTTTATGTATCTCAGAGGGGACATGGATGCATTTAAACCGCAGTTACAGATGCATAAATAATATAACTATTATACTATAATATAATATAATATATATATAGTATTATAATCATTATACTGTTATAATAATTTTAACATAAAACGTTGAATACTGATATTTGAAATGATTTAAATATGAAAAAAATTGTCGAAATGTGAAATTAAAACTGCCAGCAAGTGACTGTTAATGAGTGAGTCATTGAGATTCAACCGATTTGTTCAAACGTCTAATTCGTTCAGGAAGAAAGCATTTAACTCTGTTAATGAGTGAATCACTGAATCATTTATTCAACCGATTCGTTCAAAAAGCTGATTCATTCAATAAGTAAACACCGTCCATTGCTCAGAGACGCAATAAAGTGCTGTGATCTTTGTTTGGAACTATTTTCTTTGGCAAAATTGAGCAAAAACAAGCAATATTATGCCTAAAATGTAAGTCACTTATTGCTAACTTTACTGAACTGGTATAAAATGATTATTAAATTAGTTATCATGCTGATATCTGCAGAAAAAAACGGTACTCTTTGTGTAATATAGATTGTTAACTACATTAAATTATACAAGTATAAAAAGTATACAGAAGCATTTTTGCCGTCTACAACTTAGAATGCCTTAAATTTTGAGTTTAAATAGACTAATAAATCATGTGCATGCTCGGTCTCTGTTTGTTTGATTTGGTGATATAATTGATAATGTCAGACACTTACCACATTATCATATGCATATTGCACACCCCAGACTCGACTTGAGTGGAAAATTAATCATTTGCGGTTGTGCGCACACTTGTTTGCACATGAGCAAAGGTGTTTTAGGAGTCTAACTTGCAAACGCCAGACCACTGATTCGTCAAACCTGCTTTCCTGCAGTCCGTGTTTTTCTGACTTATGACTATTTTGTATTAAGTAACGAATATGCTTCGGGGAAATGCATCGGAGTAAAAGTATACATTTTAATTAGGAAATGTGGTGGAGTAAAAATTGGCTGAAATATAAAAACTCAAGTAAAGTACAGATACTCCCAAAAAATACTTAAGTAGCTACTGTAACAAAGTATTATTACATTACACCACTGTGTGCCAGATCACATGATTTGACAAATTATATCCCTGGTCAAACACTGCACTTTTCTTCAGAAAATATCTTGATAAATCATCTGCCAGACAGTGAGCCTCAATACCTTTAAATTAGATGCTGACCCACACACTGTCTAAGTGTTACGGAACCGACGAGAGGCATGCGGATACATTTGCAAGCTTTTATTAATAAACATGGTCAAAAAACACAGGC